ATAAATGATGAAAGATAATTAATTTTTATTATATAATCAAAATAAAAAATAAAATTTTAATTAAATGAGAATCAAAAATTGTATGTTCAAACTCATGGACGACGTTTCCTCCCCGACAACTGGCCCTTGTTAAAAAAAAAACAAAAACAAAAAGATATAAAGAAACGGTAGCCATGAATGAGTTGGATGCAAGAAATAAACGTGATGCCTCAAATTCAGGTCTCTTCAGTGTGAATGTCAAATTTGGTCACGTGTACTAATTAAAACGCAGGTTCACGTGGATTATCTGCCGACGTCCGGTTTTTTTCGAACAGTACACCGAAAAAGCAACAAATCTCAAAATTCATGAAACACTGCATTTGGACCAAACTCATCAAATAAAAGCAACAACAACTGCACGTGAGGGGGTGTTCCCGTTCAATTATATGATTACCAGTAAAAATAATGCGAATGATCAAGCAGCAAATTAAGACAAAATTTGTTCATTAAATGGAATTATTACACTAATTAATCATGATTCATTGCATCTTTTCTGTACAGTTATGCTCAAAAATAGGAAGATTCCATGATTGAAGGAACTTTACCCTTTTAGCATCTGTTCCCATCACCTCAAGTCACCTTCGACTCTTCTAAGGGTGGCTCAATTTGAAAATTTAAATCAGAAAATTTTAAATTTAAATATTAAGTTTTTTTTTTTTTTTTTTTGAACATTGGGCTTAAAACCCACTCATGGAGGAAAGAGAAGGCACTTCAAACTGACAGATTGGTAATTGATTCGAAGGGTCAACTACAAATTTAAATATTAAGTTTAGCGAAAGGAATTTAGAGAAAAAAAAAGGTTTTTTATATATATTTTGTTTTTTTCAGATATATTAAAAAGAATACCTATTTTGTGATTTTGTATCATCTGTAGTTTCTGCCTTCAACTTTTATATACATAATTTTTAATTTAAAGCACTTTTATTAGTTGTTTATTTTATTAAAATATTATTTAATATATTTATTTTTTATTTTTATTATTTTAAAATAATAATTACAATATAAGAAGAAGAAAAAATTAATGTCTTAAGGTTAAAAATATTAAGATATTTAATAATAGAATAATAATAAATAAGATTAAAATTTCGGATCAAAATTTGATACCAATGTCTGTTATTTAAAATATTAAAAAGTGAATCTATATTATTTAATTTTTAATTTTTTTTCTTTTTAGATATGTGACATTTAATACATCAATTAATTTAATAACATGAAATATGTCTCAAATTTTCTTTTCAAATTTTCACCTTCTCTATTATTACTCTTAATGATAACCACATTATGTATTTAATAAAGTTAAGATTTACGCTATATTATACATATTTAATGATTGTGATTATTTTAATATTTTGAATATCAAGACATCTTGACTTTTTCTTTTCTCTTAAATATATATTACTAAATAAGAATACTTATTTAATATTAATAATTTGAGATAAATATAAAATTTAATTAATTAATAAAAAAACATATCAGTTTTGACTCTAAAAAATAATTATAATCTCAATATTAAATTATGTGGTTTTATTCAATTAAAACTTAATTCAAAATTTCAAAAAAATATCTTATTAAATGTTGATATTTAAATTTATATTTTGATTATATTATAAAATATATAATTGATTTCCAAATTTAAATATCAACATTTAATAAACTGAGATTTAAGTTTTTATATATAAATTAAGACTTCAATTATTTTTAAAAGTCAGAATTGATATACACTAAATTCGTTAATTAATTATTATTTTATTATTTTATTAAATGAAAAACTAAGTCTATCAAAGTAACGAGGAGGGTAAAAATTTAAGAATTTATATTTCTAAAAATAGTGCCTTACTCTCGGAGCCAAGATCATTGGCAAATTTCACTCACCTTCTTATATTTCTTTGTAAGAAAAAAAAAAATTAGACGAAATCTAAACCTCCACCTATCAATTTAGGTTTGTAAATGAATTGGTTCTTGACATAACACCCTAACGACCCTATTGTTTGATTTCAAATTATCCCTTAATCATTTAAAGTTTAGTGTAATTTATGTTATTAGATTGTTGTTTTTCCATTCCTAGCTTTCAATCCCACCAAACTTGAATTTTTGGATAAATTAATTTCTTAAGGTTGATCTCGCTTCCATTACAACCATATTCCATTAACTTTAAACATTAATTTTAGATTATATCCTTAATTTAATCCCTCAATTATAGTATAGACTTCTGATTTGGTCTTTAAACAAAAAATTCTTTGATTTAATTCATATTTTTTACTAATTTAATCTCAAATTAATACTTTTGTACAAAAGTAAATGATGCCTCATTATTAATGTGATACATGACAATTAAGTAACAATGTTCTACCATTAAATAACAAGCATGTCAATTATTTTTTAACAAAAAGATCAATTTAGAATTAAATTGATAAACAATAAAGACTAAATTAAAAATTCATACAATAATTAAGAGATCAAATTGAAAATTTAACCTTAATTTTATATTCAAATTTAAAAATTCCAACTTATTTAATATATTAAACTGCTAACTCCCCTAAGATCTTTTCATAAAAATGATGCTTGTTTAGAATTTGGAAGTGTGTTGTTAAGAAAGGAATCTTGGCACAATCTGTAAAGCAGAACGATCTACATTGCTTTTTTGACTCTACAACGGCTCCAGGGAGGATGCTTTACAGAAGATCTCATGGGTGATTTAAAGCTTACTATTGGCACGCATGTCCATTCCATCACCATCAAACCTTCCGGCGGCGCCGCTGTCACAAGTCATCTCCACCAATCATCAACTGAAATTCTCTCACCAAATGGAAAAACAATCAAAGTAAGATAAAGACAAGTAAAAAGGAAAAGGCTGCAAGCAGCCGACTGGAAAATCTACATACACTAGTTAGAAACTTAGGATTCATGAGTTCAGACAAAAACCCCTGTCATGGTGCTTGACTTAACATTATCTTTTTCGAAACAGAACAAAGCTGTAAGGACCATAAGTCACTTTCTTTTGTCTTGATCTTGGTCTTTGTCAATGTCATGCGCGCATGAACAAACATTAAAAGATGCTACCATGATAACAAAACTAGTTGATCTCGAAATGATTTTTTGAAAATTTGACACAAAAGTATTTGCTAGGATAAGAACAGAGTTGAGAAACAAAACTGAAAAGGACATTCCATATTCACTTTGGCTCATGCTGTCTTCCGGTTCCAGATATTTCCATAACATGCTAATTTACAAGTTATAATGCCCTGATGAAGATTACCACACTAGGTGCTGGGAGACGGGCTAAACTTAGCTATATATATATATATATATAGTTCCAGGATAGATTAGAGTCATACTAGAGCATCTCCTGTTTGTCAGTGAAGATTCAAGTCAAAATATTTTGCAACATGGGGCTTTAACTTCCACAAGCCATGCACTCCTCTCGGTTAAGCAATGAGCATTGCTCCTTGGCCGGTTTGACATCAACACCATTCTCGAGCAGGATAGAATTTTCCTGTTTTCAACATAAAGAAACAGTTTTCTTTTAATGACATATACATCGGCTAACAAATCAATGCTATTAGCAATTTAACAAGGAAAAGAAAAGTTAGTTTCCAACACTTCAGACAATTTTTGTTTTTTCAATTGAACCACAAATTAATTTGAAATGTCACGCAGCAGCATTCTTTCAAGTCTCTATGAGCTTTTATTTCTTTTTCTTTTTTTTGTTTTTGGCTGTCCTCTATGACATTTTTTGTGATGGTTGCATTTTGAAATGCCAGAACCATACTTACCAAAAAAACTGTAAAATTATGAAAAGAAACAAGTTAAAGCTTGTGAATGCTGTAACATTTCCTGAGGAGAGACTTACATTTTTGAGCAAAGAGGTATCAATGGTGAACTTGATAGCGTCAGCTGCAGCACGTGTTCTCAGATAATACATCCCTGTTTTCAGACCCTGGGTGAAGATTATAAAATGTGAAGAGAATATATGGTACAATGACAATATGAGGTAAAATATGAACATTTTTTATATGCTAGCCTTCAACTAGAAGAGTCATAACCATGGGACTGAACATTAATCAGAAAACAAATAACTATGATAGGATTGAGACAAGGCAACAATAAAAGTAATAACATAAATGCTATCAAGTTTTAAAAATATCAGAGTAGTCATAGTTTTGTTTCTTTAAAATAATTGACCATCCAGTGCAACCTGGACAAAGACCTTTGACTCATCAATAAAACAAAACCAGTTACTCAATTTAGGATGAGTGGCAGCAGCTTCAAATTTCAACTGAGCGTTGACATTACCTCAATCTAAGAATCTGAACACCTATTACATTGGAGAAGGAACACTGTACCTTAGACCAAGCATAGAAATGCAAGGAAGTCAATTTCCCAGGATCAGGCTGATCCATCTGAATATTTAGACTCTGACTCTGATCTATGTAGCATCCTCGATCAACAGCCATGTCAACCAAGGTCTTTTGTTTGATTTCCCATACAGTTCTGCTATCATGAATGTAAATTACATTAGTTGACAAAGAAGACCTTAAAAAAATATAAGATGGGGGCAAAAAAAATTAACCATACTTGTAGATAGCTTTCAGCTCGTCAGGAATCTCTGGGATTTTATTAACTGAGCCATTTTCATAAATTATCTTCATCTTAATAACAGGTGACCATAGACCCATCTCCGTTAAATCATGTAGCAGGTGCTTGTTCACCACAACAAATTCACCACTGAAAATAAGAGGAGTTAGATGGCTGACAGCACAAGAGTTAGGTTATGAAAGAACAGGGTGATGAATAAATACAGACCTCAAAACTCTACGACTGTAGATATTAGAGGTGTAAGGCTCAAAACACTCATTGTTACCCAGAATCTGGCTGGTCGAAGCTGTGGGCATAGGAGCAAGAAGAAGGGAATTTCTCACACCATTCTTAGAGATCATTTCCCTAAGACCATTCCAATCCCATCGATCTGATGGTTTTACACCCCACATGTCTACCTGCAGAATTCCCTAAAGAAAAAGAACAAAAGCCAGTCAAAATTCTATTCAAAATATCAGTTGTTGCTTTTATTTATTTGTCTCTTTCTGTAGGCACTGTAGCATGGATAACTGAGTGTTGCAGAATACCATGTTATATACTTATACTCGGTCTTAATGGCGCAATGATTTAGGAAAGAAAATGAGGATAGTTTCTTTAAATTATTCTGTACTGGATTGCCAAAAACAATTCTCTTACTCCAGTGTGACAAGGTCTACAATACAACATAAACAGCATTCCTCACCATATAAAACACAATTTTTTGTGCTACTTTTAACAGTGAAAAGTAACGTACGACAAACAATTAAGAAAACAAATATAGTTCCCTTAAATTATTTATTGTTTATTTAAAGCCCAAATGATTCTGGAATGCAGCTTGTATAGATTTTCTTAAACATCCTGCATGAACAGTAGGGCACTTTTTTGGTATAACAATAAGAAACTATGGCATTCTATTAATATCTGTTGGGTATAATTTTTACCGTAACCAATACCAAGATAATACCTTGCTCACAGGACTACCATGATATGTTTCATAAGGGCCATTTCTTGCAGCCAACTCAGAAGAACTTCTCAGCGCATGGAAGTAGATAGTCTCGAATATATCCTTATTCAACCGTTTGGCCTGCAAGATAACAAACTGAGCATTTGAGCCTGATGGTTTAATTAGCAAAACTATCCATAAGGTAATACCTCCAGAGAATCAAATGGCATGCTGAGCAGGATGAAGGTATCAGCAAGACCCTGAACACCAATACCAATTGGTCTATGTCGTAAATTTGACTTCCTTGCACTTTCAACTGGATAGTAATTGACATCAATAATTTTGTTAAGGTTTGCAGTAACTGTTGCAGTTACCTATTAGAGAAAAAAAAAAAAAGCCATTTCATAAGTCCAACTCTGTTTGGAATTAAAGGATTAAAAATTTTTACATGTACGTCAAATTAACATGTTTCCAATTTGAAACCTTCTCACAGTTGAACCCACAGGAATTTATTACATGCATCCATTTTTGTTAATTGTTTCATTTCTCTATTTGAGAACCACATTTTGTTTTAGAGCTATAAGATAGTCCAGTAAGACAAACCTCAGCTAATCTTTCAAAATCAAAATATCTGTTCTTTGAACCTCTACTGCCGATCAGCTTAGATGGATGTGACTCCAAAGGAACCCCCTAAAAGAAAGTAGAAGAGTCAGTAACAGATTGACAGTCATTTGACAATGACTAAAATACGAAAGACTCACGTTTTCCCTGACAAATCTGGGCAGGGCAATGGATGCCAGATTGCACACTGCAGTTTCTGTTGGACTGGTGAATTCAATAACCTCAGTGCACAGATTTGAGGACTTGATCGTGCCTAAATTCTGCTGGTTGCTCTTTCTATTGCAAGAATCCTGTAGTTTAAAAGAAAAAAGAATAGAATAATTTAGACATTTTTGTTTGGATATAGTTCAAGTATTCAATATGCACACACACAGAAATACCTTGAAAAGCATATAAGGAGTTCCTGTTTCAATCTGAGAATTTAGAATCTCAAACCAAAGTTTCCTTGCAGGAACAAGCATCCTTGCCTTGCCCTGAGTTCACAGAAACAGACTTAACCATTAGCCCCCAAAAAAGGAAAATTTTATTCATCGGATTCTGTTGAAAAGGAAAAGAAGATATTCCCTCTTTCCCTTCTTTTGGGTAACAAGGCAGATGGTCAAGTTTACCTCCTTTTCATACTGGATATACAACCTTTCAAAGTCTTCACCCCAACAATCAGCCAGGCCAGGAACCTCAGTAGGACAAAACAGAGACCAAATTCCTTCACTGTGAACCCGCTCCATAAAGAGATCTGGTACCCAAAGTGCGTAAAATAAATCTCGTGCTCGACATTCTTCCTACAAGAAAGAAGACAGTTAGCATTACAAGAAAAGGTTGGGAAACAATAGACAGGAGAATTCCATAATCATTTGCTACAATTATGAAAATATTTGTAGATTTAGATCAGTCTCATTATGAATAAAAATAATTGAGTTCAGTTATCCATTAAACAGTACCTTTCCATGGTTTTTTCTTAGATCTAGAAACTCAAAGATATCAGCATGCCATGGCTCTAAATATATGGCAAAAGCACCTAACAAGGGGAGAAAAGTTAATATCAGATCAAGCACTCAACAACTATACACCAGAATCATGACATGATAATAAGCAAGCATATTATCAAGCAAAAAACTATAGCTGCACATTATTCAACTGACATCTACATGATACACACACAAAATACCTATCAATAGATGCATTATGGAAGTCTACAATAACATAAAGCATATATTAATATTAAAATAAAATATGGGAATAAAGACTTTTAAGGGTATTGTACTGTGTCTATGTACCCTTTCTCTTGCCTCCCCCTACGTCAACATAGCGAGCAGTATCATTAAAAACTCTGAGCATTGGAACAATTCCATTGGAAGTCCCATTTATCCCAGAGATGTAACTGCCAGTGGCACGTATGTTATGAATTGAAATTCCAATCCCTCCAGCTGATTTACTAATAACAGCACAGTCCTTCAGAGTATCATATATGCCCTCAATGCTGTCATCCTTCATGCAGAGCAGAAAGCAGCTACTCATCTGCCCCATCACAATGGAGAGAGGCAAATCTTTGTTAAGACTAATGTTGTAACTTAAAGGAGCAGATAAATTTGAGATCATAGCATCATACTTGAGGCTTTGGAGTTCCAGCATTGAAAAGGGTAGGAGTAGCATGAGTAAACCAACGCTGGGACATCAAATGATATGTTCTGACAACAGAGTCAATATCAGTTTTGTGAATACCAACAGAAACCCTCATCAACATGTGCTGTGGCCTTTCCACTACTCTACCATCAATTTTCAGGAGGTAAGATTTCTCAAGGGTCTTGAAACCAAAGTAGTCATAGTCAAAATCCCTGTCATATATGATCTCTTGGTCCAGCTTGGCAGCATTCTACAACCAAAGTAAGCCAAACACTTCCAAATCACTCTACATCAATCAACTTAACCATCTTACAAAACATAATGTAGATTCTGTAGTGCACTTTTTGGATTAAACACGATAAGGAAAGAGCTCCATCAATTTACAGCATTCAGTTTTGACATGGAGCTATTATATTGCTTGTAGCTTAATGCACAAATGGTTAATCTATATATAATTTGAGAGAGCAAGGGGAAGCTAAAAACTATGCACTGCAAATAACCAATATAAGTCATGGAAAATACAACTAGTTACTAATAGAACAAAGTGAAATCCAGAGAGGTATAAATACCTCCATTATTATTTCATAAACATCATCTGCAATAAGAGGAGCCTTCTTTCTAGACTTGTTGTTGAAGTAGTTATACATGATCCGAATCCTGCATCAACAATTTGAGTGAGCTAATCTCTTTTATTTAAACTTCTGAAATTAAACAGAACACAATAGGATTGAGTTAGAGAAACTACTCACGTCTCCGAGAATGACTTGTTTGTATTCTTATGAAGGTTCGAAACTGCAATTCTGGCTGCCAACTGTGACAGAGATGAGAGAACATAGTCGATCAAAACCCAGACAGCAAGCTTAACAAAGCACCAGACATATTACCAGAGAGATTCAAATACCAGAAAAAAAAAAA